TGTGTGTGTTTCAGTGGATGGCGGCTGGTCGTCCTGGACTCCGTGGAGTGTGTGCTCTGTGACGTGTGGCGCTGGTCTGCAGTCACACTATCGCTTCTGTTCGGATCCGGAGCGAGCTGGGAACGGACTGCCCTGTGTGGGACCGGACCGAGAGGACAGAGTGTGCACTTCAACACCCTGCAGCCGTGAGTGAGAGAGATATATACAGTCAGACCTAAATTCATTCAGACACCTTCAACATGTCTCACATTATCAGTTTATTTGCTATAGTTTAGAAAATGGTAATAAAATATGACAAGAACTCAGAGTTAAACTGTGTCAGAGCAAACTCATCTTGATAATGTCAGATAACTTTGATTGAAAGGTATGTAATGAATTCGGTTGAATAGCTGTCAGCTGTTAAATTTATGTATACTATTAGATAATACCAATTTAGCTCAACCAATTACCAAGCAATGCTTAATTTTGTTCAGTCCGTCTGTGGTGTAAAAAGATCGCATTAGCAATTAAAGAAAAGCGCTTAAGCAAAACATGGTCAGGTCAAAGTGTCTGAATAATTTTTGGCTACAATTTTTTTTCAATTTTACTGGTAGTCCACTGTATGAAGAATTTCTGGTATAATATGTCACTGTTTACTTGATTTTGCTATCCTCACTTAACATAAATTAACTATATGTCCTGCACCCACTAGAAAAAATATCAAAAATTATAATAATAATATAATATAATATAATAATAATTAATTTTTATTTATATATACATACATACATATATATATATATATATATATATATATATATATATATATATATATATATATATATATATATATATATATATATATATATATATATATATATATATATATATATATATATATATATATATATATATATATATATATATATATATATATATATATATACACACACACACACACACACACAGATGCAACAAAAACTATAAGAGTATAAATCAAACCAAAAACAACAGTGATTTGCATGAACATGAAGACCGCTTTAAATGTCAGATTGGTTTGTGTTGTTGTGTCTGCAGGAGACGGAGGCTGGAGTGACTGGTCGTCCTGGACAGACTGCAGTAAGTCGTGTGGTGGAGGAGTGAAGAGCCGCAGACGGGACTGTGATCGACCCGTCAGAGGAGGAGACGGAGACTATTGTGAAGGACTGGGAACGGAAGTCATCCTGTGTAGCACACACCACTGTCCAGGTGTGTGTGTGTGTGTGTGTGTGTGTGTGTGTGTGTGTGTGTGTGTGTGTGTGTGTGTGTGTGTGTGT